GATTTAGCGCCACCAGTTGCACTTGGTGACTTTTGGAACTACAGCTTCCCCACCAGGGCCGATAGATGGCGTTCCAAGCTGTTAAAAACAAAAATGAACGACGCCGCTGTCGCCATCTATTGGCACTGGCGGAGAAGCTTTTGTTACTTTTATTTTTACTTATACACTAGTGACGATAGATGGCGACAGCAGCGTCAGTTATTTTTGTTTTTAAAAGCTCGTAGCGCCATCTATCGGCCCTGGTGAGGAAGCTGTAGTTCCAAAAGTCACCAAGTGCAACGAGTGGCGCTAAATCCGCGTCACGTACTCTGTGTGCGACTCACCAAAATGCCGCGTTTTCTGCCAGACTGCGAGGCCTGCCACTGAACCATTTGTTTAACTTCTTTTTCATTATCATTTGGTGGTATGTTATTCAGGGCGACCTCGCGCGGAAGAAGATCATGCCGTCCTTGTGGTAAGCAGCTTTGTGCTTCTAAATGGCAACCAAAACAAAATTCTCTTACCTTCTGCTTCTATTCTCCAGGAACCTCTACGCCCAGGACCTCCTCCCGCCTCACTCCTACATCATCGGCTTCGCCCGTTCCGACCTCTCGGTGGACAGCCTGCGGGCCAAGGTGACGCCCCATGTGACGCTGAAGAGCGACCAGGACCGGGAGAAGTACGACCGATTCTGGGCCGACGGTCACGTCAGCTACGTACGGGCCAAGTCGACGGCCAGCATCGAGGAGTACCGCAAGTTGGAGCGCTCGCTGGCTGCCATTCAACGAGGAGGAATTGGAAGTTCTAAATTGAACAAATCTTCGGGAAATTCAGCTTCAAATGATCCTCCGACCTTCGTCGCCTGCCACCGCGTCTTCTACTTTGCCCTGCCGCCGCACGTCTACGCCGAGGTGGCCACCGCCGTCCGCAACGTCTCCATGGCCAAGGGCGGCCACGGGGCCACCACAAAGATCGTCCTGGAGAAGCCCTTTGGCAGCGACCTCGCCTCCTCGAACCTCCTATCATCTCAACTGTCCGCTCTCTTCACCGAGCAGCAGCTCTACCGCATGGACCACTACCTGGGCAAGGAGATGGTGCAGAACCTGCTGCCCTTTCGCTTCGCCAACTCCGTCTTTGAGCCGCTGTGGAATCGCCGCCACGTCGACGCCGTCGAACTCCTCTTCAAGGAGTCCTTTGGCACCTACGGCCGGGGAGGGTACTTCGACGCGGCGGGCATCATCCGCGACGTCGTCCAGAATCACCTCCTCCAGGCGCTCACCCTGCTGGCCATGGAGGAGCCGGCCAGCCTCTCCGCAGAGGACGTCCGCAATCGAAAGGTGGAACTGCTCAAAGCGATGCGGACGCTGACGCCCGAGGACACCGTCCTCGGACAGTACGCCGGCAATCCGGCGGCGGCCGCCCACGAGGACGCCCACCTCGGCTACACCGACGACCCGGGCGTCTCGAACGCCTCCAAGGCGGCCACCTACTCCCTCACCGTCCTTCACATTGACAATGACCGCTGGCGAGGCGTACCGTTTGTGATTCGCGCCGGGAAGGCCCTCGATGCGAACCAGGTCGAGGCGCGAGTGTACTTTCGGCCGCCGCCCAATCTGCTCTACAGCCGCAACGACCACGGCGAGGACCCGCAGAATGTGCTCATTCTGCGCATTCAGCCGAATGAGGCCATTGTGCAGCGAGTCAGGGTACGGCGACCTGGTCTGGAGAAGGTCGAGGATCTGGTGGAGTCGACGCTCGATCTGACGTACAGCGACAAGTTTAAGGTAAGTTTTCTTGATAAGATTTAATAAACTGACAACTTTCCCCCACTTTAGAACGCCGACATTATCGACGCCTACGACCGCCTCCTCCTCGACATCTTCAGCGGCCGCCAGGTGAACTTTGTGCGGACCGATGAGCTGCAAGAGGCGTGGCGCGTCTTCACCCCGGTCCTCCACCTCACCGACAACGGCTCCCTGCCCGTCCACCGGTATCCCTTTGGCGCTAGCAGCCTGCCCCAGGGTGACGCCCTCCTCGCCGCCAAGTACAGCCTCATAGCGCTCATTTGATGATCATCACTTGTTGACTGATTTTATAATGACCCTCACAAATACATAGACCTACTATCCACTTTCTCCAGGTGCATCCTCCTCGAGGTGGCCAAATCGGCGCCGGCGGAGCACCGTCTGACAGACCTCCACCAGGTAGCAGTGCATCGAGGTGAGGAGGAGGTAAAGTTGAGCTGAGGTGATTGCCTCCGCCTCCCCTTCATCATCGTTTTCAAGGTCATCTTCAAAGTTTTCCTCCTCCTCCTCTTCTTCCTCCTCCTCCACAAACTCATCGACCAACTGCCCGTCCATCCTCTGCAGCGTCCTCTCCACGGCCATCCACCCCAGCAGGTCGTCCACCAGGCGGCCAAAGAGGAGTGTCAGGTTGGAGTAGAGACGGTGGTGGTTGGCGGCAGTCCACGAAGAGGATGAGGAAGAGGGAGTTTGTCCACCAGAACTGCTGCTCTGAAGAGCCTCCATCTGCCCTTGAACTGCCTGAATCAGGCGGTCCAGCTCGTCCACCAGCAGCTGGCCGCTTAGTTTCGGCTGTTCTGCTGCTTCCTCACTTCGGTCTTCAGTTCTTGAAGTTCGAACTGCTTCTTCAGCTGAAGTGGACTCATTCGATGAGGAGGAGGTGTTGACCTTGAGCAGCCGCTCCAGCATCTCCCGAAACTCCCTCAGCAGGGTGTGCCACAGCAGCGAGGCCGTCTGGTGAAAGAGGTGGCCACTGGGCCGGGTCGAGTGGACGTACTGCTGCGGCTGAGGAAACCGGAAGCTTTCTGGGCAGTTGTTTTCAAGGTTGANCTCGGTCTTCAGTTCTCAAAGTTCGAACTGCTTCTTCAGCTGAAGTGGACTCATTCGATGAGGAGGAGGTGTTGACCTTGAGCAGCCGCTCCAGCATCTCCCGAAACTCCCTCAGCAGGGTGTGCCACAGCAGCGAGGCCGTCTGGTGAAAGAGGTGGCCACTGGGCCGGGTCGAGTGGACGTACTNTTCGGTCTTCAGTTCTTGAAGTTCGAACTGCTTCTTCAGCTGAAGTGGACTCATTCGATGAGGAGGAGGTGTTGACCTTGAGCAGCCGCTCCAGCATCTCCCGAAACTCCCTCAGCAGGGTGTGCCACAGCAGCGAGGCCGTCTGGTGAAAGAGGTGGCCACTGGGCCGGGTCGAGTGGACGTACCGGAAGTTTTCTGGGCAGTTTTCAAGGTTAAAAGAAGAAGAAGAGGTATCCACCGGCTCATAAACCGAATCAAAGACAGCGAGAAGACGCTGCAGAACGCCGGGCAGCTGCTCAAAGTTGATTTTCTGCAAAAGGAAAAGAAGATAAGTTTTAGAAAAGCCTTCCACTTACGAAGTGCACCTACCTTGACGCCCAAAATAAAGTCCACCTTGAACTGGATGCGAACGCTCCACCGGGTCGCCTCCTCCACCTTCAGCTCGCCGACGCTTACTCTTCTTCTCGAATCGATGTTCATCCCTTTCAAAACATTATCTTCAGGCTCCAGCAACGCCCACAAATTCTGCCCACCTCCGGCAATGCTGTTGGGCACCACCACCTGGAAGGTCCTCTTTAGCCAGACGGGCAGCAGGTGGGCGACGGTGTTGAGCCGTCGCAGGCCCTCCACGGGCGCCTCCACCGAGCCGGCGTAGATGTCCTCGAGGAGGGCGTACATGTGCGCGTCGAGGGCGGCCATGGAGCGGGCGTAGNACTCTTCTTCTCGAATCGATGTTCATCCCTTTCAAAACATTATCTTCAGGCTCCAGCAACGCCCACAAATTCTGCCCACCTCCGGCAATGCTGTTGGGCACCACCACCTGGAAGGTCCTCTTTAGCCAGACGGGCAGCAGGTGGGCGACGGTGTTGAGCCGTCGCAGGCCCTCCACGGGCGCCTCCACCGAGCCGGCGTAGATGTCCTCGAGGAGGGCGTACATGTGCGCGTCGAGGGCGGCCATGGAGCGGGCGTAGACGGGCACGGAGCGGGGCAGCTGCTGCCAGAAGTGCATCACGTAGTGGCGCATCTGCGCCAGATTCGCCGCCAGGGCGCTGTCCAGCAGACACTGACAGTGGATCTTGTAGAGGTTGACGAAGACGAAGCGGTCGTTCTGGAGATAAAGAAGAAGTTTTGAAGATGAAAAGAAGGTACTTTGAAAGAAGGTACTTACGCTCAGCGGCACCGCCCCCGACTCTTCGGCCCGGGGCAGGCGCATGTAGGAGAGCATCGACTGGATGATGGCGTGGTAGTCATTCTCGTTGAGGTTAAAGTGAGAGTAGGACTCGAGGGCAGAGTGGCGGTTCGAGAAGATGGTCAGGCGGCGGTGGTGGTGGTGGTGATTAATGAAAGATGAGGAGGAGGTTGTGGATTTCGAGGGGGTGATTTGATGGTGGTGATGATGGTTTGCCTGTTGTGAAAACTGTGGTTGATTGCTCTGTTGTTGATGATGGTAAGGTGGTGGTGGGCGAGGTGTTGTTTGGGGGTGGCTCCAGAGTGAAAGAGTGGTTGATGGTGAGCTTTGAAGCTGCTGCTGCTGCTGCTGTTGTTGTTGGTCGGTGATGAGAAGTTCTGTGGAGTTGTTCAACAAGTTCCATGAACTTGTGCCTGCTGTTCTGCTGTAGGCGCTTTCAGAGGTGTTTGGCTGCTGAAGTGCTGCTGCTGCTGCTTGTTGGGGGTGATACAGTTGAGGGTGATGGTTTGAAGTTTGGTTTTCGACCGTTGAAGTTTCATTGCTGTTGTTGCTGTTGTTGTTGCTGCCGCCGCTGAGGAGCATGCTGCACCGTTTTCGTTCATCTCTGAAGGTGATGTTGTAGTACTGATGAAGGGAAAAAAATGACGGGAGTTTAAAAGGAGTTTTTGTATTCAAAGTAAAAAGGTGATACTTACGTGGTACTTGCTCTGCCCCCGAGCGCCCAGCCGCTTCGACTTGACCTTGGGAA